TTGGGGAAGAGTTTTATTATGATGGTAATAACAGGCAGTGGATCTCTGAGTACTGTTCCTGCTTTTGAACTCAGGGTAAATTACAGATTGTAGGAAATGCAGCTCGGGATATCCTGAAAGAGTGGAGCCATCGGCAACAGAACCATTTACAAGGTGGAACACCTTTTAACTCCAGCTTTCTAGTAGAGAAAATAAGTAGATTCGAGGAGATCTGTACTTGAGAATGTTGACACAAATGTTAGCAATAACAAACTGAAGTGCAATAGAGAAAAGCATATTGAAATAACTCATGTAGTGGAAGTATGTTAGATTGTAGCAATAAGGGTTGAGAAGAGTTTTCTTTTTTTTAAGTGGCTCTTTCTTCCCTTTGATCTCTTCTTCCTCTGATCTAGTCTGCATTCCACTTCCAGATTGAATTCCAGAGGCGCTGCTTTGGACATATCAATGCCCTGTTTAGATTGCTTATCACAGGAAAACCCGAGTGTTTATCCCAATAGTTAAAGTCCTCTATTGTTCCACCCTCTCCTATCTTTCAGCATCATCTTCTCCTCTTCCCGTTTAAGGAGCCCTCTGACCATAGCCTGAGCTAGATGAATTGGTGTTGCCCAGGTGCCAGACTAAAGGAGGTGCTAACATAATTACTGGGACAAATCCAAAAGATTCTGCTAGATGACTATGGTTTCCACATTGACTCCTTAAATTTCTGTAGAAGTGTGAATTGGTCATCCCTGTCCTCCCCTTCCCCACCACCAAGCCAAATAGCACTGTCAAGCAGGAAAATTTTCTCTAGCTAGCTCTGATTTATCTCTGCTGATTATTCTGCAGCATGTAAGTGGTCAAGCATGACACTAGTGTGTGAGAAGTGATTTTAAAGCCAGTAGTTTCAAGCAGCTGAAAGTTGAGAGCCAAATACTGCATTGCATAAAGCCATTTATTGGAGATGATTGGTTTTATTATTTATCCTTAAGTCAGGTTTATTGAGGTTTGGTTTACACACAGCAAAATTCACACTCTTTACATGTACAGTTTGATGAATTTTGACAAAATTCACATAGTGTATTGTGTACTGTAGTGTAACCGACACCACGATCAAAGATGCAGAATACTTCCATCAGTCATTTATATTTTAAATAGTTTATCGTGGACCCTTAGAAGTAGTCTGGTTTATAGTATTATACATACTAAAGTCCTTATTTGACAAATTAAAAAGTATCCCATTTTTAAATAGAAAAATTGCTTTCTTCCTGCCTCTACTAGGCTAAATAAGTAAAGAAAATCTGTTTTAAGGGGCCTGCTGGGAGTGCCCACAGATCTTGGTTCGGTGACAGGCGGCTTCTCTATGGGATACTAGAAGAAAGGTGGATTCGGTGAGGAAAGTGATGAGTTCCTTTTGGGGCATGTTAAAATTAAGGGGCCTGTATTCAGGGCCTTTAATTTTAAGGGCTGATATTCAAAACATTTACCAACCAATAGAGTACAGACAGGGAGTAGGCAGGATGGCTGTCTGAGTGGCCAGAACAGACATCATCGATCAACAGTTGGGAAGGCTATTCCTGTTGATGCTGACAAAAAATCAGCCCTACACACAGGACATCCAGGTAGGAAGTTGGAATTGAGGGGCTAAGAGTCAGAAGCAAAGTTGGGTTGGCTAGAATGGATTGGGCCAGCAGATAGATGATGCTTACCCAATCCCGAGGAATTGATCGAATGGGTATGAAAGGGCTGTGGCTGAACTTCTGGGGGTGAGTTGGAGAAGGAGTGGCTGCAAAGGCGAGAAGAGAACCGACACAGAACAGTATCCTGGAAATCAAGACAAGAGAAATTTTAAGGTCAACAGCATAGCAAAAGCCCATCAACTTGGCAGCTTAGAAGTGGTGTATGTGGTGGAAACAGATGGATTTGTAGGTGTAACAGGTGGAGGCAAGTCCTCTAGCTCTCCTCATCATAAAGGTATATCAGGCTTATTATAGGCCATTTGGGAAATATGGAGAGGTGACGAATTTCAGCTTTCCAGAACCTCTAGCCCAAACACTTGGGCCAGCTGAGAACTAGGGCCCCAGAGGGGTGCATGTTTGGCACCAGCACCCTGGGTTGTGCAGGGGCACTGCTGAGGCCGATTCCTGCCAGAGAAGTCTGTCAGTGAGGGCAAAGGGTGCTGGCTGTGGAGAAACCTGCCCTCTGCCCCTCTCAGGCAGCTGGATCTCAACATTGATAAAGAAAAATGGTGATTAACTCGACAGTTCCCTACATAATTTCCCCCTGCACCCAAAGTGTTTGAATGCATACCCTATGGCAGCCCATTTTGTGCTCAGTACTTGACAGATACCTCTTTTTGAAAGGATTGAGACAGATGGAAAGATTGAGTAGAAAGATGGAAAGTAGGGAACATGACTGAGTAGTTGAACAGAGTTGCCGCAGGAAAACAAATGAACACAGATTTAAAAAATGATCCCAATCATTGTAGGAAGGGGAGAAAATGTCATGAAAAGAATGTTGCATTCATGCTTCTCTTTGGTGTTTCCCCATCTCATCCTTTAGCTTCGAGGTGATTAACTTGGACTCGGATGATGATGATGAACAGCCCGCCGAGAAACAGCAAAACACCTCCAATGTCACTGACAATGGCAAGTATACCAAAGCCTTAGGGAAGCGGCTGAGCTCTGCTGGCTCATCTGTCTCACACAGGCATTTCAGGATAAGTCAGCCAGCGTTCTGTTTGGCCACCATTTCTTTCCTTCTATGTGCCAAGTGTGGATGCCCACAGCCCTTGGTAGATTTCCTAACACAGCTGCAACTGTTCCTGCTGCTGCCTCAGACCCCCGGGCATTTCTCTCAGTCCAGTTCTCATTTCTGTCACAGTATATCGAGGGATCAGAGGGAAGAAAGTCAAGTCCAGGGACTGAGGAGAATGAAGGCAGGCTGCTCTGCTCCTCCCCCTTACACCTTTCTTCTTTCTGTCTCTGTGGGAGTGACAAAGAGGAGGAAGGAGGAGTGAGGGAGAGGCACAGGCACCTTCCTGTGTGATGGAGCCCTGGGTGGGTGATGGCCATGGTCCAGCAGGCAGTGACTTCTAGGGGAAACATGCTTTCTCCATCTATCTCCTTGTCTTTGCCTTTTACTAATCCCTTTATACTTTTTGGAGGTTCCTGTTTTTCTCACAGCCTATTTCCTGTAGCAAACCCTTGCTTCTTTGGATTCAGAGGTCTTTTTAGCCTCACGGGAGACGTGGAACTTTACTCCCAGCTCAGAACTACCTCAGTGGATGTGAAACGTAGGAAGACTAGGAGCATCTTGAGCACCAGGGATGCTCTTTTATTTATCTTTGTTCACTTAGTACAAGGGGTAGGCCAGTACTAGTTGAAGTACTGGCTACTTTGGTAACTACGCAAGAGCTACTGTTGGCTAGAGTTTCCTAGCTAACCTGGGATATCAGAGCAGGGGAAGGAGAGGTGACTTAGAACCCTAAGGTTCTAAGGTTCTTACAGGTGGTAAGTCTGCCGTTTTACCACCTGTCCACTTGAATTTCGTTTCTTTCTCCTTTTCTCTAGCCGCACCTAAACAGGACAGCACTCCAGGTGTTGAAGGCATAGGGAGCCCCCAAGGAGGTAACTGTAGAGCATGAGTAACAGAGCCAGAACCCAATTCATCGCCATGGGCCACCACGTGCTGACTCCTTAAGTCAGAAGATCCATAGTCTTTCAAGGGTGAACTTGCAACTCAGGCTGCTCTTGTCTCTCTGACCAGTGGACCGTAGTCGTGGGTACCCGCTGCAGTCTTGGAGGGATGAAGAAGGCTCTGACGGACTCTCTTTGTCTCTAGTCTTTTCGCTGTGCCTTTTCCTTTGTTATTGTAATGAATTTTGATGTTTTTACAGAGAAACAAAAAGGGCCTGAGAAGCTTTAACACATACTTCTAACTGCACAAGGTCATCTTTAGGGATTGTAAGCAGTGTGTCCTTAGTATTTTTGTTTTTAAAATTTGAGCTGCAGGTGGGAAATCTTGAAGTTTGCTAGGCAGAATTATTTTTTTACTGTAGGAACACCCACTCCTTTCTCTTTCCTTATTACATGTCTAAAGTTCTTTGATAATTAATTCAAATACTGTATTTTGCTTTGTATAACTCACAGCCACATTTTTGTGCACATCATACACAGGATTATTATACCCATGCTAAGTAATCATTATACCCATGTATAATGTGCATCTTTATTTTTCCCTCAAAAATTTGGGCCCAAAAGTGCTCATTATACACAGTAATAGATGAGCATTTCAATATACACTCTCCCAAATCTGCAATTTTACGGTGATTTTTGCACCATAAATATGTTTTCACATCTTGCCTGTGCTCTGGTTTATATTTTTTACGTCCAGGATCATAGAAACCTAGAAACTCAGGTTTGAACAGACTCCTGAGAGCCTGTGGTGTTAGACATGCTACCCCTCATTTTCAGGTGAAGGGGACATTTACTTGAGGGCGGTGACCTTCTGAATGTTCCCAGGGCCAGTCAGTGTCCTAATATCAGTGTTTCTGAGTGCTTTGCACTTACGGACTAGTGAGAAAGGGAAGTTGTGGTAGCAAGCATACAACTGCCAATTTTTAATTTGTACAATGATGGAAATATACTCCAACTGTTATCTACTATCACCATAATTTTATAAAGTAGAAAGTATTGAAAACTTCATGAGGACCTAATCTCAAACTTAAGGACAGTCCTTTAAATTATAGAAATCGAACCTGATGGGATAAAACTCACTCTATTGTTCTGTTGGGTCATATTTTTCTATGGACCAGTGAAAATACACAAGTCTGCAGAGCTGCTGTGTTTGGGAACCTCTGAGCTCCTACATCGTGCTGTTCAGAGAATGTCATTTGAAAATCGCCACTGGACTTAGACTGATGTTTTATCTGGCCCTGCTCTCTGTAAAGTAACAAACTAATAGAGGGAAAAATAATCTCAAATAACTGATTCTTAACTGTGATTCATAATGCGATAGTTCCCTGCTTGTTTAATTTCTGCTCAATAATCCAGTTGACTGTCTTGGGGGTGGGGGGTGGAGGAAATCTGCTTATATCTGATTGTGCCTCTTGAATTTCAGATCAGACTCTGGAAGTGACTTCTGATAGTACAAAGTATGTGAACCAGGAGATGCCAATAGTTATCAGTGATGATGATGATAGTGATGTGGAGGGTCCTGTGATAATAGAAGATAGTTCATCTGATGACGACCAGATTGCATCTGATGACGACCAGATTGCATCTGATGACGACCAGATTGCCTCAGATGAAAAGGAGACGATGCAGTCTACTACCTCCCCCCGTAATTCATCTGATGATAGTGGAGATTCCAACCCACCACTAGACGATCCTGAGGCTAAACTAGAGATTCCAGGTGAAAAGATGGCAACTGATGAAAAGGTTCAACCTGTGGTGGACAAACCAGAGGAAAGTAAGTGTAAAACCAAGCATTTACCAGGTGTGCCACCTGGTAAGCTTGTCAACCCAAGTATCCCCGTCCCCTGAACCCTCAAATGTGCCTGGCCCACCCAGTGTGCCAGCTGTGCCTGACTTGCCCTTTGCCCTGAATTTGTCTGTCTACCCACCACTAGACGATCCTGAGGCTAAACTAGAGATTCCAGGTGAAAAGATGGCAACTGATGAAAAGGTTCAACCTGTGGTGGACAAACCAGAGGAAAGTAAGTGTAAAACCAAGCATTTACCAGGTGTGCCACCTGGTAAGCTTGTCAACCCAAGTATCCCCGTCCCCTGAACCCTCAAATGTGCCTGGCCCACCCAGTGTGCCAGCTGTGCCCTGACTTGCCCTTTGCCCTGAATTTGTCTGTCTACCCACCACTAGACGATCCTGAGGCTAAACTAGAGATTCCAGGTGAAAAGATGGCAACTGATGAAAAGGTTCAACCTGTGGTGGACAAACCAGAGGAAAGTAAGTGTAAAACCAAGCATTTACCAGGTGTGCCACCTGGTAAGCTTGTCAACCCAAGTATCCCCGTCCCCTGAACCCTCAAATGTGCCTGGCCCACCCAGTGTGCCAGCTGTGCCTGACTCGCCTTTGCCCTGAATTTGTCTGTCTACCCACCACTAGACGATCCTGAGGCTAAACTAGAGATTCCAGGTGAAAAGATGGCAACTGATGAAAAGGTTCAACCTGTGGTGGACAAACCAGAGGAAAGTAAGTGTAAAACCAAGCATTTACCAGGTGTGCCACCTGGTAAGCTTGTCAACCCAAGTATCCCCGTCCCCTGAACCCTCAAATGTGCCTGGCCCACCCAGTGTGCCAGCTGTGCCTGACTCGCCCTTTGCCCTGAATTTGTCTGTCTACCCACCACTAGACGATCCTGAGGCTAAACTAGAGATTCCAGGTGAAAAGATGGCAACTGATGAAAAGGTTCAACCTGTGGTGGACAAACCAGAGGAAAGTAAGTGTAAAACCAAGCATTTACCAGGTGTGCCACCTGGTAAGCTTGTCAACCCAAGTATCCCCGTCCCCTGAACCCTCAAATGTGCCTGGCCCACCCAGTGTGCCAGCTGTGCCTGACTTGCCCTTTGCCCTGAATTTGTCTGTCTACCCACCACTAGACGATCCTGAGGCTAAACTAGAGATTCCAGGTGAAAAGATGGCAACTGATGAAAAGGTTCAACCTGTGGTGGACAAACCAGAGGAAAGTAAGTGTAAAACCAAGCATTTACCAGGTGTGCCACCTGGTAAGCTTGTCAACCCAAGTATCCCCGTCCCCTGAACCCTCAAATGTGCCTGGCCCACCCAGTGTGCCAGCTGTGCCTGACTTGCCCTTTGCCCTGAATTTGTCTGTCTACCCACCACTAGACGATCCTGAGGCTAAACTAGAGATTCCAGGTGAAAAGATGCCAACTGATGAAAAGGTTCAACCTGTGGTGGACAAACCAGAGGAAAGTAAGTGTAAAACCAAGCATTTACCAGGTGTGCCACCTGGTAAGCTTGTCAACCCAAGTATCCCCGTCCCCTGAACCCTCAAATGTGCCTGGCCCACCCAGTGTGCCAGCTGTGCCTGACTTGCCCTTTGCCCTGAATTTGTCTGTCTACCCACCACTAGACGATCCTGAGGCTAAACTAGAGATTCCAGGTGAAAAGATGCCAACTGATGAAAGGTTCAACCTGTGGTGGACAAACCAGAGGAAAGTAAGTGTAAAACCAAGCATTTACCAGGTGTGCCACCTGGTAAGCTTGTCAACCCAAGTATCCCCGTCCCCTGAACCCTCAAATGTGCCTGGCCCACCCAGTGTGCCAGCTGTGCCTGACTTGCCCTTTGCCCTGAATTTGTCTGTCTACCCACCACTAGACGATCCTGAGGCTAAACTAGAGATTCCAGGTGAAAAGATGGCAACTGATGAAAAGGTTCAACCTGTGGTGGACAAACCAGAGGAAAGTAAGTGTAAAACCAAGCATTTACCAGGTGTGCCACCTGGTAAGCTTGTCAACCCAAGTATCCCCGTCCCCTGAACCCTCAAATGTGCCTGGCCCACCCAGTGTGCCAGCTGTGCCTGACTTGCCCTTTGCCCTGAATTTGTCTGTCTACCCACCACTAGACGATCCTGAGGCTAAACTAGAGATTCCAGGTGAAAAGATGGCAACTGATGAAAAGGTTCAACCTGTGGTGGACAAACCAGAGGAAAGTAAGTGTAAAACCAAGCATTTACCAGGTGTGCCACCTGGTAAGCTTGTCAACCCAAGTATCCCCGTCCCCTGAACCCTCAAATGTGCCTGGCCCACCCAGTGTGCCAGCTGTGCCTGACTTGCCCTTTGCCCTGAATTTGTCTGTCTACCCACCACTAGACGATCCTGAGGCTAAACTAGAGATTCCAGGTGAAAAGATGGCAACTGATGAAAAGGTTCAACCTGTGGTGGACAAACCAGAGGAAAGTAAGTGTAAAACCAAGCATTTACCAGGTGTGCCACCTGGTAAGCTTGTCAACCCAAGTATCCCCGTCCCCTGAACCCTCAAATGTGCCTGGCCCACCCAGTGTGCCAGCTGTGCCTGACTTGCCCTTTGCCCTGAATTTGTCTGTCTACCCACCACTAGACGATCCTGAGGCTAAACTAGAGATTCCAGGTGAAAAGATGCCAACTGATGAAAAGGTTCAACCTGTGGTGGACAAACCAGAGGAAAGTAAGTGTAAAACCAAGCATTTACCAGGTGTGCCACCTGGTAAGCTTGTCAACCCAAGTATCCCCGTCCCCTGAACCCTCAAATGTGCCTGGCCCACCCAGTGTGCCAGCTGTGCCTGACTCGCCCTTTGCCCTGAATTTGTCTGTCTTGTTGGGTCTGCCTTTTCTGCCTACCAGCCCTGTGCCATCTTAGCAGCTGCCTGGTAGCCAAGAAAGGCCACTGTCCCAATGAAGGTCTTTCTAGGAATGGGTGGGGGGGGCGGGAACGCCCAAGTCTTAGTATTCACCATTCCATCTGCCTGGAGTGCTTTGTCCCTGACCTCTTTGTCCCGAGGATATCTCATTTTCCTGAGGACCCAGCCCTGTTGTTTCCTGTAAGGAGCGGTAAGTCAGAGTCACTCCTCCCCCCTGGGTTCTCACTGTTCTTAGATCCCACCTCTGTTAAAGCACGTCCAAATCTGTCCCCCTGGTAAACGGTGGGCTTCTTGGTTGGAGTGCAGTTTACTGGTGTTTCTATCTCTCCCAGGGTCTAGCCTGGTGTTCGGCACAAAACAGATGCTTGCTAAATATTTTAAATGAATGCATGTCACTACTGATATGTAAGTCTCTGGCTAGAGCCACTGGCAGTATGAGTGCTAGATAGTGGGGAGATCTGGCTTTCCTATTGGGTGAAGGTGCTTCCTAGGACAGGAGCCTCTTTGCTCACAGCAAGTGTGTGAGAGAGGCCATGCCACTCCTTACACGCTCATACTTAGCTGCCCCCACAGTCCAACCTGGACACTTGCTCCTGTCACCTCATTATAGGTCTTGGGGCCTGTGACAGAGTCCTACCCAGCTTATTCCACTGGCAGCTCTGAGTCACAGGTGTAAAATCTTTCATGCTGACAGAGCAGCATGCGGGCTTCAGACTGACAGTTGTCACTTGCAGATGTTGCCCAGGACTTGGCTGTGGGGGCTGCTCCTGGGTTTCTGCCAGTTGCTTGATGGGACCAATTTTCAGGGAACAAATGAACTGTTATCTCTTCAATTGTTATCCTTTCAGCTGTTGTTGAAGGACAAAAGCGGACTCGGTCTTTGGAGGAGGAGGAAGAAGTTCCGCAGCCACAGCCAAAGAGAAAGCGTACTCAGCCAGCTAAGTCTTCTTCCAAGAGAAAGGAAGAAGTCACTGAGTCAACTGAGCCTCCTTCCAAGAGAAAGGAAGAAGTCACTGAGTCAACTGAGCCTCCTTCCAAGAGAAAGGAAGAAGTCACTGAGTCAGCTGAGTCTCCTTCCAAGAGAAAGCGAGCTGAGTCAGCTGAGTCAACTGAGCCTCCTTCCAAGAGAAAGGAAGAAGTCACTGAGTCAACTGAGCCTCCTTCCAAGAGAAAGGAAGAAGTCACTAAGTCAACTGAGCCTCCTTCCAAGAGAAAGGAAGAAGTCACTAAGTCAACTGAGCCTCCTTCCAAGAGAAAGGAAGAAGTCACTGAGTCAGCTGAGTCTCCTTCCAAGAGAAAGCGAGCTGAGTCAGCTGAGTCAACTGAGCCTCCTTCCAAGAGAAAGGAAGAAGTCACTAAGTCAACTGAGCCTCCTTCCAAGAGAAAGGAAGAAGTCACTGAGTCAACTGAGCCTCCTTCCAAGAGAAAGGAAGAAGTCACTGAGTCAGCTGAGTCTCCTTCCAAGAGAAAGGAAGAAGTCACTGAGTCAGCTGAGTCTCCTTCCAAGAGAAAGCAAGCTGAGTCTCCTTCCAAGAGAAAGCAAGCTGAGCCTCCTTCCAAGAGAAAGCGAGCTGAGCCTCCTTTCAAGAGAAAGCAGGCTGAGCCTCCAAAGAAGAAACCCCAAGCAGAGGAATCTCCACAGGCATCTCACCAGCATGAGCATGAGTATGTACTGTTTGTGTTCAACCAAACAGGAATTGATCGCCTGATTGTCAGATGTTAAGCAGCCCACTGGGCACATGTGGGGGGATTCAAGTGAGTGAAGGAGTCTGGTGGGGGACAGGGACAAAGTTTCCATCCCTGAATTGGGAAGGCGTAAGCAGGAGAAGGCTGTGGCCACTCCCCCCCTCCTCTCTTTCCCCTAACAGAACTGGGCAAAGACCCCTGCAGTTCCCCAGGCAACGGGGGGGGGGGAGTGAGGCGGTGGGGGGGTTCTGCTCCCACAGCAGCTCTGGCCTCTGAGATTTCCTTTGCCTTTTAACTTGGGTTAAAGAGTGATGCGTAAGCAAACAAGATACTCTTTTTCTTCAGCCTCATGGCCATCAGTTTACCGTAAACCAAAGCAAATGCAGCGGTGATGGTGAGAAGGCAGAATGGACATATTCCAATCCACTGGAATCGGAGGGAGGGCAGTCAGGATTGTCTTCAGGTTTTTCTGGCGCTTTGTATGAACTCAGTTACTCTCACTACTTGTTTGTGTTCTTGTAGGATTCTCAAGCTTTATTAGATGTTAGGGTGAAATAGACTGTTTACAATTCCTTTATTTTTATTAAGTTGTATATAATTGATACTGAAAACAACAGGTCATTTAGACCAAAGATATGCTAATACTTAAAGGAACTAAGGAATTAATATATTTTCTCATTCACATTCCAGGTACTTCTCAGTTTTTCCCTTAATAACATGATGTAGCAAACAGAATTTCCTTCATTTGTTTTTACTTGCATTCAGGAGTAATATATACTTAGGTGTTAATTACCTTACACGAGAAGGAAAATATTGGAAGGATTGTCTGTTTATTTCTTCACCTGTATTTTGGGTCCATAAATGCATCTGGAGGGGAGCAGAATGATATGTTGAGAGCACTGGGCATCAGAGCGACTTGGGCCTGAGCAGAGAGGCTCCGGCTCTGAGCTTCTCACCTGGCGAGGTAGCTGACGGCAGTATGGCTTGTTCTCCATTAAGATGGCTCCCCTTTCAGCAAACTTTCTCCCCTGGACTCTCAGATACCTATCTAACCTGCTTTGCCTATAGGAATGTGTGTTTTGGGTCGCTCCCAGGTTGCTTGACTAGAGAGTATGACAAAAGAAGAGAGAAGCTCCCCTTTTGACATTGTGCTCTGCATCATGCAAGGGAGGCTAGCCTGTCTGGACTGCTCCCTGTTGCTGTGGTACTTCCTGTTTCAGTCTGTAGGCTTCCTGTTGTGCTTAGCATTGTACCTGTGGGGGCTGCTTACTTGGTCATGTTTCCATGTGGGGTCTTGTTGACTCCTCTGATGTGGAGATGCTCAGCCTGCAGTAAAGTGGCACAAACATTGAGGTAAAAGTGTGCTAAGCCACAAGGCCCACTTGATGTGCGTAGAGACACATGCAGGGTCCTGTTCTCTACTGAGGTCTGCAGATGGTTCAGGTATTCATGTTACCTTTTCTGATGCATACTTGCTTTCTGAACTAAGTAACTTTCCGAGGCAGAAATACTAGTCCTATCAGGTTTTGGGATGAAGAACCTTCCTTCAGCTGTGTTTGCCCGATTTGGTCCTTTTCCCCTCTTTCTGTGCCAGCCACCTCACACAGGGTTTCTTTTGTGGTTTAAGGGTTAATGAGTGTCCTGTTAAGTCAGAAACTCACTTCCCCATGTTCGCGCCTGTGTTTTCTTTCCAGCTCTGTGGCTCATCTCTTTGGACTTGGGAAGTGTTCCAGCCAGGATAAAAACACTTCAGTTTCAATAAATAGGTATCGCAAGTGTCAGTCCTTCATGTGTGGAGCACTACTCTTTGTGTACTTGAATTAGGCCTTGAAAAGTGGGGCAGCAACAGTGGTCTAATGGAAAGACCATGAGATTGGTGGCAGAAGATTGTGTCTCTGTGAACTTTGCATAAGTCACAACCTTAGAGCTTCCATTTCCTTCTCTGCAAAGTGGAGATCATAAGACTGGCGATGGTTTCTTTGCAGGGTGGTTATGAGGATTGGCTGTCACGATGCAAAAGGAAGTTCTTGGCAAATTACAATGTGCTACACACTTAGTTGTTCTCGGTGCAGATGTGATCATTCTAGGCTATGGGCAAATACGTTGTACCGAGGGCCAAAGGAACTGTGGCCAGTCACAGTTCCCATCCAGGGCATGTTTGAGTGGCCCACTTTGGCCACAGTGGGAATGGCAGCTGGAAAGAGAAATCAAGACTAGCTTGTCCTGGGCCTTGATCCGCCAGGCCAAGAAGTCAGTGGGACATAATTGGGATGTGGCTGAGGAAAATTAATCTAGAGGTATGTTTGTGGGTTCTGTTAGAAGAAAAAAGCCTGGAGGAAAGGGACACAGCGGAATGCTGTCATATTCCACAGAAAGGGAAGGACAGGAACTTGATCTAGGGTGGTGACTGAGGTTCAGGATGGACGAGGTGGTGGGAAGGGGACAGTGGTGTGTCTTTGTGTATAATTGGCTCTAGGGTAAGGGAGAAATGAATGAACAAATGTCTGAGGTGTTCAGCCTGTTAAAACTCAAGTTGGATCATTAAACACACTGAGCCAGAGACATACTCATGTCAGCCAGTCAGTTGGAAAATCGCATCAGACAGTTAATTGTAAACTCAGAACTGGGTCTCAGGGGAGAGATGGAGACTGAGGATGTAGGTGTGCGATCACTCCTGTTGAGGTTGAAACCATGGGCTTCACATCTCTGACAATATGAGGAGTGAAAAGAAAAGGCTTTACATAGAACCTGGGGAAACGCCCTCATATAAGGAGTTGGAAGGAGGAGGGACTTGCAGGTTTTCTAAGTCTCTCTTGACCTCTATCTATGCAGTTCTTCTATGTATTTGTTTAGCCATACAAGATGCATTTGAATTTCCTTTTGCAGGAATATTAATTGCAACATAACTGGATGTTTTTTACGTGGCATTGAAAATAAGAAGGAGTATTCTGGAAGGAACTTCAAGAAAAATAAAGATGAACTGGTCAGGAAACTGTATGTCCTGTTCAACGAGACTGTCTTTAATAAACAGGTAAAATCAGTAAAGACGCCCTTATTGAGTACATGCTGTATGCCCAGCACTCTTCGGTGTCGTGAGGTGTGCAGATATGCTAACTGTGTATTTCCTGTCCTTGAGAAGTGTCAGTTTAGGTGTGGAGATAAGACATACTCATGTGAAAGAGAGAATGTGTGTGGATTATAATATACAGTACAGACTTACTGCCACGGGAGGTCAGCAGAGGGGGAAATCACTGAGTGCCTGAGTGGTCAGGAAATAGGATTGCTTGGAGGAAGTGAGACTCTTTCTGGTTCTTGAAGGTTGATAAGCAGAGAAAAAAACAGTGATGGGGAAGAAGGCATGTGTTGAGGCTTGACTCTTTGGAAGAGGGGGTTCCTGTTGAAGTATAGCGTGACCTTGGGCAAGGGACTTAAGTCCTCTTGGCCTCAGTTCTCTTGTCTGTAAAATGGGGACAATCATAGTACCTCCTACTTCATAGAATTATTGTTTCGCCTGGCTAAGTGAATACACCTGCAGGGCCTTCTTAGAACAGGATTTGCCACGTAGCAACACACATTAGCTCTTTTTTTTTTTTTTGATAGTGTAGGACTAGATCATGGAGGGCCTGGGAATCAGCTTGGAGGAGCTTAAATTGAAATGAGCTGGCACCACTGCACAGGGACATGATATGAAGTGGCTGCTGAAAAACTAATCACTCAGAAGCAGGGGTGCCCACGAGATTGGAGAAGACCTGGAGGCAGAGAGACAGACCCTTGGGTCATTACGTTTTTCAGACTTGATCACCTCTGCAGGGAATGTTCTATTGGTTTAAAGGTTCCCTCTTCTTTGGTGCCCTTCCTGATGTCACATCAGATGACTGTTGAGTGGAACCTTAAGTTCCGAGTTGCATTTTCAATTGTGCACTTGCACGCACGGGTCACATCCATGTCAGCTGGCCTGTCCTTCTCTCCTTGGCCACCCCTGGCTTGGTCTCCGTGACAGGGAACACAAATCCTGCATGCTCTCCAGGGCTCTCTGAGCAGTCCCCCTCATGTCCTGATGGCCTGTTAGTTGTCCTTACCTGGACCTCGGCTTGGCTTCTATTCTCCGCAGAATGTTTTGATTTGCAAAACTCTTGAGTTCACATTTTCTGGCCTGCTTAGAACTGCTTGCTGACTCCCTGTTTGCTTGTCTTTCTCAGCTGCCAGAGAAACTGGATATCTGCTGGAATAAGAAGATGCTGAGAACCGCTGGCCTGTGCAGCTCTTCCCACTCGTCTAACCCGGCAAAGCGCTACACTAAGATTGATATTTCTCTGAAAGTCTGTGACTCTGCAGGTAATGGCAGGAGCATGGCAGCTGTCCAGACAGACTCTTTCCTTCTGACACCTCGCCTGCTGAGTTACGCTTAGGTGCTGGTATTCTCTGGCAGCCCACATCTCAGCTCTGCCTTGGGGGACAGGCCTACTGTGTCTTGCTTAGACAGACACTATTATTGGATGTCTCACCATCCCTGGGAGCCCCACTTGTCCATCTTTCTAGTTGGCCTTACTTTCTGTCCACAGCTCCCTGTTGCCTGCAGCAGCAGCAGCTCCATTCTCCCAGTAACTGAGGTTCAATCAATCTAGCCAATGGCTATCTGTCTAGCCAATCACCAAATCTTCATAATGACTCTGCTATCATTATCCATCCTCCATCTTTGACTCTGCTCAGGTTATGGGCCCTCATCGCCTCCCTCTTCTCCCTGTCACATTCAGTCTCCTGCACACTGCATTGCTTTCTTGCTAAGAAACCTATGGCTGGCCAATGCCTAGAGCCTGGCTTTTGGGGCCATCCTAGTCTGCCTCTCTGCCTCTCTGCCTCTCACCTCCCGGCCAGTCTTAACTCCCACTGCTCCACCACCAGCCTGTGCTCCTGCAAAGGCTGGCTTCCCACTAGCTTTCAGAATGGACTTTACACTTTCCTGACCTCCACCTTTGTTTGCATTGTTCACACCTAGAATGGCTTTTCTAATTTTGCAAGTCCACTCCATTGTGAAGGGCCCAGCTCAGGTCCCAGTTTCTCCATGGCGCCGTTATTGACCAAATCCCATGGCCCTGGTGATTGCTCCCCACCCTGCCCGCTTACGTTCCTGGAGAGTGGAAAGCCAGTCTTGGCCCGATGTATTTCTGACAGTGACGTCCCACAAAAGATGAGTAGGTTGGACCTGCTCCGAAAACACACCCACCCTAGGTTCTCTGCATTGACCGTATCGGATGGAAGTGGGTGGAAGTTTTACTTTCAGAACCTTGGGAAGATAACACTCACCCCTGCTTCTTCCTGTGCTTATCTATGATGGCTTTCTGTCTGGTGAGGTGGAGAGTTCAGGGCTGGTTGGGTAGTGACTTGAAGGGAGTTGGTTGAAGTGCTCATGGTTTCTTTTTATTTTCCTTCCAAGACCGAATCCGGGATACTTTGGCCCATGAGCTCTGCCACGCAGCCGCCTGGCTGCTGAATGGCATCAGTACTTCACATGGTTACACATGGAGATACTATGCCAGATTGTGCAACTTGGTCCACCCAGAGCTGCCCTTGGTCACCCCTTTCCATAACTACAAGATTAACTACAAGATCTACTATGAGTGTACTCAATGCAAAGCCAGGTGAGACCCTTCTCCCCAGACTTTTCCCAGTGGTGTTTTTTACCATAGCCTCCAAGTGGCTCTTCCGTGATTTTATTGATTCTCTGACTTGAGAAGTAAATAAGATCTCTCTGCTCCTTTCACGTGCTCTTTTCTCTAATTGCTCCTACTCTGGGCTGGCCTGACCTCTGCTGCTGCTTTGGTGCCCCGTTCTCTGAGAACCCCCAGAAAAGTCTGGCTTTGGGCCCAAGGCCAGCAGTTCAGAGAAAAGGCTGCTAAAGTGGCTGACCCTTTGCTGTGTGCTGTCACCTTCCTCTTTAGGATTGGCCGCTACACCAGATCACTGGACACCGAGCGCTCTGCGTGTCCCTCATGCAAGGGGCGTCTGGTCCTGCTGCCGTTAACTCGCAAAGATGGAACCCCCATCAAGCAGTATGTGAGACCCTTTGCCAAGTATGTGAAGTATCATTACAGAATTGTCAGGCAGGAAATGAAAACTCCAACCCATGGGGATGTGATGAGACAGCTCAGCAAGGATTATTTTGTCTGCAAAAAAAACAACACCCTTTAAGTTTATGAGCAGATATCTGTGTAAGCCGAGTCCTCTGCTTATGAAGAAGTTTTAGGAAAATATCTTTGTCTCTATGATGTTATGAATGTTAGAATTTAAATCTTTTTTATAAAGTTTCATATTGTCAATGATTGTTCTTTACCTAAGTGTTCCTTTGCTTGGCACTTTGTGCCCTTGACTGTACTTGGAGGTCCTTTGGACCCACCTTGTGTTTTACACTCCATAGTTGTGATGCATGGAACATATTTACATTCCATCGTTGTAATGTGTGGAACATACTTAGACTCCATAGTTAACATGTGTGGAACATACTTGGACTCTAGTTGTAATGTGTGGAACAAACTTAGACTCTGTAGTGGACATGTGTGGAGCATACTTAGACTCTGCAGTTAACGTGTGTGGAACAAACTTAGACTCTAGTTAAGACGTGTAGAACATACTTAGACTCTATAGTTAACATGTGTGGAACCTACTTAGATTCTAGTTGTAATGTGTGGAATATACTTAGACTCTGTAGTTAGGATGTGTGGAACAAACTTAGACTCTAGTTAACATATGTAGAACATACTTAGACTCTGTAGTTAACGTGTGTGGAACATACTTAGACTCTAGTTGTAATGTGTGGAATATACTTAGACTCTGTAGTTAGGATGTGTGGAACAAACTTAGACTCTAGTTAACATATGTAGAACATACTTAGACTCTGTAGTTAACATGTGTGGAACATACTTAGACTCTAGTTGTAATGTGTGGAATATACTTAGACTCTGTAGTTAGGATGTGTGGAACAAACTTAGACTCTAGTTAACATATGTAGAACATACTTAGACTCTGTAGTTAATGTGTGTGGAACATACTTAGACTCTAGTTGTAATGTGTGGAATATACTTAGACTCTGTAGTTAGGATGTGTGGAACAAACTTAGACTCTAGTTAACATATGTAGAACATACTTAGACTCTGTAGTTAACGTGTGTGGAACATACTTAGACTCTAGTTGTAATGTGTGGAATAAACTTAGACTCTGTAGTTAAGACATGTGGAACATACTTAGACTCTGTAGTTAACATGTGTGGAACATACTTAGACTCTAGTTGTAATGTGTAGAATGTACTTAGACTATAGTTGTGAAGTGTAGAACAAAATGCAGGAGCAAATTAGATTTTTGAGATTGACCACTTGAGAGAATGAGAGTAACTCTGGAAAAATGAACATCTTTAAAGGCAGTGTTTCAAAACGAGGGCTCCTGGCAGCTGTAACCTGTTATACTTGGTTAGAAATAAAGTTCATATTTCATGAAATTACTTTTGCCATCTGAACCAATGTAATTGTTCATGAAATACAAAAAATAAAATGTTTTCTGCAATTCACTAGTCAGCAAAGTCTGTTCCTTGACAGCCTGCAGCGGAACAAGCCGTTGGGGTCTTCTCTCCAGGTCCCCGGACATCCGAAGCTCTCTTGCATGTGCTGGGAAGATCATTCTGCGTTTGGGGATTTTTTTCTGATTCTTGTAACTTCTCACAAGGTTTTCAGAAGCCTCCTCGCCTGTGGGAGCTGTCTGGGCTGTGGATGGAATCAGTGCTGTATTTGTTGCCTATTGGTGCTCTAGCAAGTGACCATGAGCTTAGTGACACACATATTGTCTTACAACAACTATGTGGGGCGGGAGGGGGCGTAGACCTCACTTAGCTGGAATCTGGGTGTGGGTAAGGCTGCGTTCCTTTCTGGAGGCCCTTCCGAGGGCGGGGGTGGGGGTGGGGATAGCTATTTCTTTGTCTTTTTCAGCTTCTAGAGGCTGCTGCAGCCCCTGGTGTGTGGACCCTTCCTCCATCTCCAAAGCCAGCTGCCTTTGTTTTTCTCTCCACATCTGCCTCCTCCTCTTACTTTTAAGGGCCACATAATGACACTTGGCCAACCTGGGTAATCCAGGAGCAGCAGCTTTTCAGGCCAACTGGTGAGCAACCTCAGTTCCCTTTGCCACATAAAGTAACATCTTCCCAAGTTCTGGGGATTAGAGTGTGGACAGGCACATCTTGGCTAGTCTGGCGTCACTGCTCTTTTTAGAGGCTGGATGTGTTCTGTCATTGTCCCTCCTGCCGTTTGCGGGTGCTCAGTGACCCTTTAGTAACGACCAATAGAAGTCTCGCCACCAGTCTAGGTGGGATTGGGTGTGGTACACAGGGTGGTGTTAGAGCTTTCCCAGCTAGATCCTTGGGCCTCCTCCGCAGTCCCACCTCCAGCTGGCCTGTCAGACTAGATCATCGCTTGCTGCTGACTTAGGGCGAGCTCACAATGCTGTGGTTCCACCCCTACAGAGGCAAGGGCCCAGCCTTTGTCTGAACTCAGTAACCCTGTCAACCTGCCTCTCTGGGGAGCCCTGGGCATTTCTTTCACTCACTTCCACCCTAGCTATAGCCATGGGAAAATGATGCTCACAGCCCACCCATGCTGCCTTCAGGGGGCCTTTGTGCTAATGACTGTCTGCTTGTTATCTGATCTCATAGCTTGTCTTCCATCCCACTGCCATTTCCCTAGTAAAAGCCTGCATTACCTATAACCTCACTGATCAGGACTGCCTTCTAACTGGTCTCTAGAATACCATCACCTGACCCAAAACTAACTTTCAGTCTTGTGTTCAACCCTTCCCCTCCTGAATCCTTCAGTCTGTCGGGACCATTTCTAATTCCTCCAGGAAGCGAGGCTGTTTTCAGCCTTCCCCCCCTTCGCCTCTACCCTCCCTTCTGCCTGGAAATACCATCTTTCCTTCTCTTTGCCCTTGGGAATACCACTTGCTCATTCCTGTCTTCAGGAAGCCTTTCCAAATGGCTCCAGCCACAGTGTTTGCTATGTGTGCCACATATTTGCTTCGTGGCCTAGATTGTGGGGTGTAGTTACGTCTCGCCACATCCTCAGCTTCTGGAGTGCAGGGACCACGTTATTATTTATGTCTGAAGGCCTCTTCCCAAGAGTATGCCCACATACTGTGTCCAGCCAGCCATTTGATTGCTTACCCTGTGCCTGTGTACCTAGATACTTCCCTGCGAATGACAGGAGTGTCCAGGACAGCGGAGAGCAGGCCAGGCGTGAATGTTAATACAGGCAGCATTGGCTGGCACAGTCCCGGGCACAGGCAAGGAGAAGCAGGATGTGCATCACGGAGCCTGGGCAGGGTGGGTTGGAATTATGCACTACTAGCATACCATGGTACTTATATTCCTGTTTATTGAAAAGTTTTAAGCAGAACTTTAGACATAAAAGTGAGCAAATACAGAGGTTTTGGGGACCATAGCTAGTCATTGCTGGGCTGGAGAGCTGGGCTAAAGCCCCACAGGGGCAGCTTCCACCATGCCATGCGCCTCAAGCTCCTTGCATATGGGGAAGGCCAAGGTCTAGTTACAGGATAAAGAGGATGGTGGGGCTCTGGGCAGCCAACTCTGAATTGGCAGGATGAGGCTTGGCAACTAAGGAGCAGCGAAGTCCCCAGAGACAGGAGGGTGCCCCCTGGGAGACCTGGCAGTGCTGGGGCAACCAGGAAACTCCAGGAATACACATCTGGGGAGCTAGACCCTGGGCAGAGGAAGGGAAGAGCCTGTAATGGTGGGGAGTCAGGCTGTGTGGTGAAAGGCTTGCCACCAGCCCAGCTTCACAAGCCCTGGAAGGAGGCCTCTGTGGTCTCAGACCAGGACGAATCCCGGCGGGAAGATGGTAGGTGCCGCTGGTGCCCGCTCTGACCAGGGCAGCCCAGGCGCAGAAGTAGCATCCACATCCTCTCTCGGAACTTGACACCCACAAAGGCATAGAGCAGCGGGTTGAGACAGCAGTGCATATAGCCCAGGCCAGAGGTGATGGACTTGGCCACATCCACACGGCTTTCTTGGCTACAGTTGCGGGCCAAGGCCCCCATGTTCATAAGGATGTCCACCAGCACCACTAGGTGGTAGGGTGTCCAGCAGAGGGCAAAGGCCACCACTACCACCACCACCAGCCGCATGGCCCGCAGCCGCCGCTGGCCCCTGGAGACCAGCAGCACAGCCAGGATGCGGGCATAGCAGTAGGTCATGACCATCAAGGGTAGCAGGAACCCGGCCACCAGCTGCAATAGGCGCACAGCTGTGCGGCCCACCTGCGGGAAGTTGTGCTGGCACTGGGTGACATTGAGGCGGTCATCGTGGTGGGCTGACAGGAAGATGAATTCAGGGAGGGCTAAGAGCAGACATAGCCCCCAGACAACGATACAAGTGAGAGCCACGCGGGTCGGGGGGGCCCGGCGGTAGAGCTGGGTGGCGTGCACTATGCTCAGGTACCGGTCAAAACTGATGCAGGCCAGCAGGAGGGCCCCAGCGTAGAAGTTGATGTTGAAGAGGGCACCTGCCACTTTGCAGAGCTCAGAGCCAAAAACCCACTGGATCGCGGCATCCACTGCCCAGAAGGGGAGGGTCAGCACCAGCAGGGTATCGGCCACAGCCAGGTGGAGCAGGAAGGTGTCGGTGCTGCTCAGGGTTGCCCGCTGGCTCAGCAGCACAGCTGCCACTGCACCATTGCCCAGCAGCCCCAACACAAAGAGGAGGCCGTAGATGGCTGGCAGGAAGGCCCTGTCAAAGTTCAGGCTGAAGTCTTGTGGGCAGGGTGGGGCGTCGCAGCAGAAGTCACTCTCATTTTCTCCTCCATAGTCGAAGGAAGAGCTATAGTTTTCCAGCAATTGGATAGTTTCAGGGCCTAGGAACTCCAGGCGTTCACTGATCTGTGGAGGGAGGGAAAGAGGGTAGAGACCCTGTAAACAGACTCCTTCAGAAGTTTCATCTGAGGAGTCTTTCTGAGGAACCTTTCTAGGAGCGGCTGTACTGTAAGGCAAGCCCTGAGGCCAGGGCCACACCCTATAATTGCCCCCACCTTTCTTCCAAGGCCACGCCTCCTGAACGCCATCTGCCCAGCCTTGGGCTAGGAAGTAACTCCTTCTCAAAGGTTGATTCTCCCTCACCCTTTGGGCCATCCCTTTAGCCCAGGAATTGTGGGCTGGGTAAAAGCTTTCCTCCCGAGCCAAGGGCCATCCCTGCCCCGTCTCCTCTTTCTCCTTTCTCTTCCTTCAAGGCATGCTATTGTCAGTGTCTCAGCCATGCCTAGTTGTACCACTTTCCTTCCCAGCTGCCACTCCACCATCCCCTCTCCCAGTCACTGGCTCTCCTCTTCCCTCCTCAGCCCTTGTCTGGGGTCCCAACTACCTGCTCCCAGTGGGGCTCCTCTATATATCTCTGTGTCCTCCAAGCACACTTTCTGCCCCTCCTTTCCATCCCTTACACCAAGCACTGCCACCCACCAGGGGCTCCTCCACCAAGCTCTAGCAGAAATAGCCCCCCTCCCCCGCTTCTCCCACAAAGTACCCCGGAGCTACAGGCCTCTTCAGGGCCAGTTCAGACCAGCACAGAGGAGTCAAAGTCCCAAGTCAGAGCTGAACCGTGCCTTGGAGGGAGTCAGGGGTGATCCTCTATCCCCTGCATTTTGCAGGTGAGGCACCAGCCAGAGAGGGAAGTGACTCACCCGGTGGTCACTGGCACAAGTCAGCAGCCACGGTGGGCTCTCGATTCCCCATCCAGTGCCCCTTTCATTCAATCGCTGCATTCTCTACCTACTCACCCGACCCTCTGCTGGCGCTGACTCATGGGCCAGTCCTGCCAGTCCCCTACTGTTCTGGTGGGTGGCCCTGGGCTCCCACCCACCAGGGCTCTCCAAACTGACAGTGTCCTGGCCTGGACAGCGGCACTTACCTCAGGGAGCATGGTTGGACTGGTGCACCAGCTGCTTAGGCGCGTGCTACCTGCCCCTCTGCTTGGGGCTTGTGGTTGAGAACCTGCACTACACAGAGGAAGTGAGGGTTTCATGTGTTTCTCGACCGCTATCTCTTCCATGGGGTTGTCTACACCAGACCTCTCTAGAGCCAATGCCGTGGAGCTCCCCCTCCCAGCCATTCCCCTGGCCAGGGAAGCTACCTGGGGCCAGAAAGGCTGAGGCCTCTGGAAGGGCTGAGGCAGGGCCTCCCAGGGGACAGGTCTGAGGGCAAAACAGAGCGCTGGGGAAGTGAATGAAGGACAGCCCTGCCTGCAGTCAGGGAAACAACTGCTTCTCTTGCACTAGTGTAGCCAATGCTCAAATAAATGAGAACTCGTGCTCCTCAGTCTTGGACCGGAGTCTATTTTCGCCTGATTGTAGGCTGTATTGCTAAATGTGTTAAGTCTGTAAAGGACCTTGCCCTTCTTTAAAGAATCAAAGTATTTAAAAGAAATCAATTACATTAAATGTAGCCCTCTACTATTGCCCCT